AAATAAATCCATAATATTTTTGGAAAAAAAAGTAATTTTAAGTTTCTATTAACATTTTTATGATAGATGAACGTAAAATGTTTACTCCAATACAATTATTTGGAAGAGAAGTTGATGAAAAATTTAACACAAACAATGTTCAAAAACACTTTCAAAAAGTGATTGAATGCTATCACAAAAAGGAAATACAAACATTTAACGATTTCTTTTATGCGCTATCAGTGATACTACCTCGTTCTACTATTGGAAGTTTTAAACAAATGATACGAAGACTTGACTTACCACAACTTGGAAAAATACCTGTAATGAATAAATTTTTTCGAGATGTTTCTTTAATAGACCCACAATCAGGAACAAAAGTAGGAAATGTTTTAAGTAAAATGAATCCAACAACTAATCCTGAAAGTATCATTAAAGTAGCTGAATTATCACTTGGCAAAAAGGAAGAAAATTTTCAAGAATTTAAGAATGTACTTGAAAAGGTGTGTAATTCAAAACCAAGTACTTTTGTTATTCAACATTTTGGGGGAGATGGTTTTGGGATATTTATAGATGAAGATGAAACAGGAAATGGGTTTGTTGAAGGGAGAATTGAAGAAAGAAATGAAAAGATGGAGGAACGTGATGATAATGAACTAAAAAGAAAAAATGAAGCAGAGAGATTGATCAGAGAAGCCTTTTCTGATGGAGAAGAAAAGTTAGAAAAAGAAGTAACTCATATGACATCTAAGCAAACACCAGTCATTGAAAACCAAAATAGTTTATCAAAACACTTTGTCCAAGAACAAAGTAATGAAGCTGTCATTATCAATTCAACCGATACTTTTGCTCATGAAAATGAAGAAAAAACAAAAGAACAAGAGAAAAAAAGCCAAATTGGAAAGAACGAAGAAAGGCCTACTTCTAAACCACTCTCTTTAAATACAATAATTCAAGAAAAAGAACAAGAAGAAATACAACAAACATTAGACAAAATAATTAAAGAAATACAAACTAAAATAATGAAAGGATATGTTTTAGAGAAGAATGAAACAAATGAAAAACTGCTGAAAGAACTATCACAACTAATTCATTTTAATTTATAAAAAAACAATTGTTTAATAAAGTTGAAGTAAGTGTCAATAACTTTAATAAAACATTCAATTAATAAAATTATTTATTACATCTTTAATAGGATATGTTATTGACAATTTTACTGTTTTGTTTTTAATCATATAAGAAATTGTTATTAAAAAAAAAGTGTTATATATTAGTTTAAGCTAGTGTTGCGTTATAGACAACTGAAGCTTTTTTAAATAAATAAGAGAAAGAAAATAATAATTATTTTGAATAAAAACAAACCCATTATTCTTTACAATTCAATTAATGAAAGTAAAATGAGAATAATACAAACAGAATAATCACAAATTAATCATTTAAAAAAAAAATAAAAAAAAAGAAATATAAAACAAAATTTGAGATAACAAAATACAGCGATTAATTAAAAACCAAGAATTTGTTGAATTGTAAAGTCGTTTCTACTCAAGAGAATATCATCGTCGTTATTAAAAAGAGAACATATAAATGAATTAATTTCTTGTCCTTTATCAAGAATCTGTTTAGTGTGAAAGAAATCTTTAATATAAAATATATTTTTATCGACATGAATCTTTCCTTTACTTGAATGAACTAAATAATTTTTCATTTCAACAGCATCCAATAAAATATTTAATGTTTCTCTTATTAAATTCTTTTCAAACCTCCTTTCTACACTAGATATTTGAATACCATTTAAAAGGTCTGAATCATATATTTCATTACATCTATTGTCTACATATTCAGCTAATGGAATTTCATCATTTTCTGTAGCAATTGATATAATTCTAAAAAATGGATATTCCTTCATTTTATTAAGTTTAGGTTTTTCAATTCGAATATCATAAAATTTATTCAATACTCCAATATAGAAACTTTGTAAACTTGAGTCATCTTCTTTTCCTTTTCTTTTCCAAAGATTTTCATTGATGACTTTGGGTGACTTAGATTGCATAATGAATAAGATCTTAAAAAGAAGAAACTTTTATTATTTTCATTTTGAAAACAAATCACAATTTTGTTGTTTTTTACAAAAACAAAAACGATTTTATTTTTTCTATTTTTAGTATATAGTCTTTTTTAGGAATTTATTACTTTTATTTTCTTTTAATAGAAATTTTTAGAACCAATAAAGTATTTATTTTTGTGAATTTCTTGTATTATACATGGAATTTATTAAAAAGTTATATTTAGAAGAATTTATTAATTCATTTATTCTTCTGAAAACAATATTTTTTTGTTTTTTCTAAAAGAAATAAATTAAAATCAAATCAATGGGTTTTCTAATTATATAAATATCAAAAATAGATTTATTAAATCAATAAAATATAAAATTTGAAGTTTGTTTCTTTTTACTTTAAAAAATGGTTTAAAAACAAACAAAAATGTAACAAAATATTTTTTTTTTGGTATTTAAATATATTATAAAATGAAATTATTGTCTTTCTCTCTAAAAGAGGTATTTAATTTGATGTCTTCTAATATATACCATTTATCTTTAACAATTTTATTTATAATATCAGAACATTGTTTTGACTGTTTATCATTTGAACAAAAAACTTCTAATGTTTTATTTGTTTTAGTATCTTTAATTAACAATTGACGTTTATTGTAAGAACAAATTATATTTTGATTAATTGGATATTCAGTAAAAGAATATTGAATAGTTCCAATTTTTAAAGAACATAAAAGAATATCATTACAAATAAGAAGTGTATATTTCTTTTTATCTTTTGTTTCAATTTTACATTTATTAAATAATAGTCTATTAAAAATAAAATATTCTATTTTATTACGTTTTTGTAATTCATATTGTAATTTATCTCTAAAACTGGTACATTCATCAATCAATAATGAAAAATTATGATATTTATGATATACTTCTTTTAAACGATTATAATCTGGATTCTTAATTGGTGTATTTTTTAATAATTCTAATATTAAAATAGGATATCTCATTGTTCTTTGAACTGGTTGAATTAATAATTGTTCTAATTCTTGATGACCTAACTCTGGTTGATCTTTATTTGTATTGATTAAGTCTTTTACACATTTCAAAGTTTTAATTTGTTCCCATACATTAGCTCCTGTGTTATAATTAATAGTAAATTTTAACAACGATGATGCAAATATATAACACTCTTCTAAAACATTAGAAATTATTATTTCTGAATCATATTTATCTAATACCTTTCTTAAACAAATACTAATTCTCATTGAACTAATACAAACTTTATCATAAAATTCATTAAAAATATAATTTATTAATTCTTTCTTAATTAGTCCATTATTAACAAGTTCATTTAGAGGATTTATAAAATATTTATTGATAAGTTGTAAATTTTTGTATAATTTCTCTTCTGTTTCAGTTAATTCTTTAAACACTTTCTTTCTTTTAATAAGTAATTTTGCTTTATATTTATTTCTAACTAATAGTCCTCTTAAATATGATTGAAGCAAAATAATTCTCTTATCATTATTCTCAAGTACTTTTTGTGTTTGTTTTATAGTGAATGATAATTTAGGAGAAAGAAGTAATGGTGATTGTTTTACTATTATTTCTTTATTTTTGAGTTTTGGACTTATTAAAGGAAATAACCTCCTTTCATCTTCAGTCATTTGTTTTTGTTCTAAATTTTCAAATAACAGTGTAATTGCTCTTGGCCTATTCTTTTTCAGCTCAAGCATTTTTACTTTCTTTTTTATAGATTTATTTTGTTCACATCTTTTTAACTCTAAACACTGAGGTAATGTTGCTTTATCTTCTTCAATCAAATTATCATATTTTCTACTTTTTATAAAACTATTTAGTTGTCTGATATTTTTTTTAAATGAGAGATTATCTTTACTTGTTGGTGATAACATTTGTTCATAAGAAGTCATTCTTCTTTTAGGTTGTTCACTTTTAATCATTTTATTATTTATTTTTTTTTCTTCTTGTGAGTGTTTTTTTTCTTCTTCCTTATTCTTGTTTATTGATGAGAGATATTTGAGGGTTAATCCCTTGACTGTTAATCTTCTTATGTTTGGAAGTGATAACCTTAATTTTTTCTTTAATACATCTTTTTTTTCTGTTATTAATTTATTACTCATTCCTTCTTTTTGAGAGGGTATAACTTCTAATTCATTTAAAGATGATTTTATTGGTAATAAAGGTAATGATAATGACCTCCAATTTTTTCTTGTGTTACAAGAATTAATAAGGTTATTTCTTTCAATCGTTTTACTTTCTCTACACCATTCAGTAATTCGTGAAATAATTTTAGGTGTTCTAAAATTCTGTGGATTTTCTCCAGTTAGTTCAAAGAGTGCTTTTGTAATTAACATCTTTTCCTCATTAGAGACTTGACTTTTAATGATAGCATTAACAACATCATTATTAATGATTTTAAGGAATGTTTTCATAAAGTTTATTTGTTGTTTTTCTTCTATTTGTAAATATTTAAAAATATCTAATGGAGGAATTTGATATTTGACTAATATAGCTGCTGTTTCAAATGCTTGTTGTTTAGTAAGTTCGTATATCGCTAAAGGATAATCCAAAATATACTTCATAACTACTTCAATTTCTTTATATTCAAAACTTGTTCCATTGAAATTAATTTCAATATCACTACTAATAGGTGTTGAATAACATATTAGAGAAGATAATGTTGATTTCTTAAACTTAGGATTACTCAGAACGTTTATAGGGAATGAAATTCTATCTGTTTTAGAATATAGAATAATCAAGTAATTCATCAGAAATTAATTTAATAATTCTAGTTTCTGTTTTAAAATATTTGTTTTTAAGATAATCACAACATTTATTTCATTCAAATTTTATAAATTAAAATATGTATATATTCCAAGATTAATATGATTTGATATACCCTCTTTGTTTTTTATGTTTTTGTTATTATTGGTAAGAAAAATGACAACTACCATAAAGGTTTATTGTTATTGAGTATATTTTATGTTAGTTTAAGAACTTTATTGAATAAAGAATTTATATAATTTCCATCAACTAAGTTTTATTTAAAAAGAATGATTTTCAATCGTTATTTATTTCTAAATTATAATTTATTATTATTTTTAATATAATAATAAATTAAATCAAAAACAAGTCTTTTTTTAATTAAACAAAGAGTATTTAAATATTTTATAAACAAAGAAATATGATTGTCATTGAAATAAGAAATTTTTTAATTAGTAAAATGAAATTAAATATAAAACTGTATCTAAAAGTAAGATAAATACTTGGACTATTTTCAAAGCAAAAATAAAAAAAACCATTTTCAATTAATTTTCATAATCATTAAATCTTCTGATATCTTGTAGTTGTGGATGATCCTCATTTAATGATTTAGCCATATATGGACCATCTAAAGTATAACCAAATTTTCTATAATAATGTCGTACCCCAACACCAGAAATAATAACAATTTTATCACTTCCATGTTCTTCTCTAGCAATTCGTTCAGCCTCTTGAATAAGTAAAGCACCATAACCCATATGTTGGAATTGATTTAAATTCTTAGTATTAACTGGAATAGAAGTACCATAGACATGTAATTCTCTTATGATGGATGTTTTTCCTTTAAGTTCTGGCATAAACTTTTCATTAGTTGGAAGTCTAAGTCTTAATAATCCAATCAATAAATCATTTTCTGGGTCTTCATATGATAAGAATGTTTCCCATCCATCAGAACCAACATAATCTCTTCTTATTAATTCAATATCTTTTACACATTTAATTTTCTTTCCTGGTTTACCTTGTAGAGCAGCTATACCAACTTCTCTAGTTCTAGTATCTCTACATGGCCAATTATTAGCATCCATTTGACGTTGAACGTATTCTCTTAAATTACCTTTATCAGCACCAGCTGAAACTAATGGAATTGGAATATCTCTTTGAATACGATGTACTCTCACCCAAGGTGGAATTAATGCAAGAATACGTGAAAGGACATCAATAGTTTCTTCAGATGTATATGAATGATAATGTCCTTTTCTCCACATTTCATATAAACGAGTTCCACGAATAACAAGACATGGATATAGTTTTAATCCATCACATTGATATGCACCATCACTAAACATTTCACTATATGTAAAAACATCTCTTTCAGGTGGTACACCTGGAAGATTTGGCATCATGTGAGTAACAATCTTATATCCTGCATCTTTTAATCTCTTATAACATCCAATACAATCTTGAACAGTATGACCTCTATTACATTCTTTGCAAATATCTTCAAAAATTGATTGCAATCCAATTTCTAAACGTGTTGTTCCATATCTAAACATTTCTCTTATATGATCCTCTGAACAACAATCAGGCCGTGTTTCAATAGTTAAAGCAACACATTTTACTTTAGAATTTTCTCCATAATGCACTGCCTCTTCAACAGTAGATGAAACATGTCCTGATAATGCATCAAATAATCCAAGAATGAAAGAGTCTCTATAATGTTTATCCATAGAAAGGAATGTACCTCCCATAATAATATACTCAACCTTTTCAACGCTATGACCAAGTTTTTGAAGTTGCTCTACTCTTGATCTTGATTGAATATATGGATTGTATCTTGCACGAACAGCACGCATAGAAGTTGGTTCATAACCAGTATAAGATTGTGTAGAATATTCAAAATCAGAATCACATCCACCAGGACAATAAACACACGAATCACCATTTGTTCTAATGTTTGGACAACGATGTGGTTTACACATTACAGCAATAGCAACAATACCTGAAGCCGTACGAACAGGTTTTGATTTAACAATAGGAAGAAGAAATGGACGATGAGAATCAGGAATAGCAGCAATAATATCAACTTGTTTAGGTGCAGTATGTAAATTATGTTTTTGAGCCATTTGAGACTTTAATTTATTTAAATTAATTTCTTCACCTTTTTCATATAAATCAATCATTACTTGAACAATTTCATTAATGCATGCAACAAATTGAACAGAATTTCTTCCATACTTAGCAGGACCTTTACGCCCTCTTATAACGTTAGATTTCATTTAATTGAATTTGTTAGTTTTTGACTGTTAAAATTTTTATGAAAAATAAACAGAAGGGTTTTTGTCTTTTTACTATTTTTCTCTTTTGAGGTTTTTAAAAAGGGACGTTTGATGGTTTTATTTTATTCTAAACAGAAAAATAAGACTCAAACAAATTAATTTAATAATTGATATATATTAATTCAATTATATGATTTATAAATTAATTGTACTATACATAAATATACTTCAACAAATTTATAATCACTTCCTATTGCTTGTCTGTATAAACTATACAACAGAAGTTGTACGTTTAAGTTAACAAGCATTTACTTTGTTAGTTCATAAGGAACTAACAAAGTAAAGGGTTAAATAGAAGGGTAAAAATAATATAAAACAATTTGTTAGTAATAACACAATTTTACTAACAAATAAATTTTTTGATTTATTTTTTGATTTATTTTTTGATTTATTTTTTATTTTTTTTTTTTAATAAAAAAAGGAAGAACTAAAAAGAGTAGAAAGTATAATGATTATTTTAATAATATTACTTTCTATTTTCTCTTCATCTAAAATGGTTGTTGATGTTTTATCTTTTAGAGAACCTATAGAACCAGAAAATGTTGTTAGAAATTATGATATGAAAGGACCAATTATAGTGTTTGAAAATTATGTACAAATTACTCCAAATGGTATTGGAAAAAGTTCAATAATGAATGGGAAATATAAAGTAGATTTACCAAGTTTTGAATTACAATTAAAATTGAATATTGTTTGTAAAGAAAAATGTGGAGGAGGGATGGGAGTATGGTTGACCGAAGAAAAATTAAAAGAAGGAGATTTATTTGGAGCATATAATATTTATAAAGGAATTGGAATATTTATCAATTTTGAAGATATAGATATTCCTATGATATCAGTACTAAAAAATGATGGAGTTGATATATTAAAATATAAACCAGAAATGTATTATCAATGCTCTGTAGCTAATATACAAAAAGATAAAGATGGAGCTGTTTTGAGAATTAAATACTTAGTTAATGAAAAAAAACTTATTATTGAAATTATGGTTAACCATATTAATATGGATTGTATTACTATTGAAGATATTGATATTCCTCCATTCTATCTTGGAATATCTGCTACAAATGGAGGAAGTAGTTCAACAAGTTATAGAGTTCAGTCTTTACATTATTATGAAGTTGGTAATAAAGAAAGAAAAGAAGTACATTTAAACAATGTTCTAGAAAATGAACAAATAAGTGATACTCCAGAAACAAAAGCAGAGAAAGCAAGTAATAGAATTAAAGAAAGAAAACAAAATAATATTAATAAAGAAAAACAACGTGAAAATGAAAGAATTGAAAACCTTCAAAAATTAGAAGAGGCTAATAAACGTTTAAATGAAAATGATCATCTCATTGAAGAGAATAAGAAAGAAGAAACACAAAACATAAAAGTAACTAAATCTTTAAATGAAGAAGAAAACGAAATGAAAGAACAAATAACAATAGAAGAAGATAAAAAACAAGAAGAAATAAATGATCAACAAATTATTGAGGAACAAAAAAAACAAGAAGAAATTGTTCAAAATCAAGAACAGATTAAAGAATTAAAACGCATAAGAATTCAAGATGGATTATATAAAATTTATAAGGCTATTGCACCAATGAAAAATGCCTTAGATAAAGTTGCTCAAGTTAAAAAAGATGGTGAATTATTAAAATTATTTGATGGAATTGTTGTAGATGAAAATAATAAAGCTAAAAACCAGTTAAAAGAAATTTTAGATCAAATAGAATTAGGTAAAGTATCAAATAATGTTTTTGGGGTTCGTTCTGATTTAGTTCAAGTTAAAGTATTATTTTCAGGTATTCAACAGAGCTCTTGGACAATAGTTTGGATAGTTTTATTAATATCTCTTCTTTTAGCAGCATACTTTGCATTTAAATTATCTATGGTAAAGAAAATAAATCATTATGATTAAAAGAACTAATTATCCTTTTGCTTTTATAACAAAATAAAAGCAACAATTATTCAAACAAAATCAAAAATACAATTAAAATTGTATCAATCCATAATGACTTTATTTAATCAAATCTAATATGCTTAGGATCATTTTTTGTTTCAGTCTTATTTTCATTAAAAGATCGTTTAAATCCTCCTTTTCTATTATCCTTTCTTGGCTCTGGACATTCTCTACTCATATGACCTGGTTTACCACAATTGAAACAAACATTATCTCCTCCTTGTTTACCTTTGTATGTATGTTGTTTTCCTGTTTTATTACTTGATCCAAATGCACCGAATTTTCCTCCATTATTATCTTTATCACCACCTTTCTTTCCATCAGCTAAGTCTAAAAAGAGAGGTCTACCATCAACCTCTTCACCTTGATGTTCTTCAACAAACTTATTAGCAGCTTCTAAGTCAACAAAATCAAGATAACCAAATCCTCTTGATTTTCCTGTTTCTTTATTAGTAATAACACGAGTTTTGACTGGTCCACTAGAAGCAAAATATTGATACATATCATTAGTTGCCCATCCATATGGAATATTCTTTACAAAGACACTAACTAATTTAACATCCTCAACTGGAATAAATTCTTTTGTTTCATTATCTTTCTTTTCTTCTTTCTTTTCTTTTTCTTCTTCACTTTGACTTTTTTCCTTTTCTTCTTCACTGTGGCTTTTATCTTCTTTTTCTTCTTCATTATGCTCTTCTTCCATTTTAGACTCCTCCTTCTTTTCTTCTTCACTATGCTCTTCTTTCTTTTCTTCTTCTTCTTTCTTTGAGTGATGGTGGTGTTTATGCTCTTTCTTTTCTTTTTTGTCCTTCTTATGTTTCTTTTCTTTCTTTTCTTTTTTATCTTTCTTCTCCTTCTTTTCTTTTTTGTCTTTCTTCTCCTTCTTTTCTTTCTTTTCAACTTCTTCTTTAACTTCTTCTTTAACTTCTTCACTTTCAATACTCTTTTCTTCAGAGCTAGACATGTTAGTTTTTATTTGAAGAGATGAAGATTTTCTTTTTGAATGTATAGGGTTGAATAATGCAGGGTTGTTTAAAAAAGATTTTATTCATTTTTCAATCTAACATGAAGCATCTAAAAGAATGATTATTAGGGTTAGTCATCTTTAATAAAAGAAAAATAAAAACATATAAGTACTTTAAAAAAAGAAAAGAGAAATAGTGATAAATAATGAAGAAACAAAATACAAGTTAAAATGTAATTTGAGATGAAGCTGATGAAATTGGAGGAGAGTTAATAATTTTATTTTCTACAATTTCGTCATACTTTTTTGATAAACCAGATGGAGTGTATTGAAGAATTAACTGAACACAAATCTCTAGTTGGGTAAGAAAATAGTCATTTTCAGAAGTTAAATCGAAGCAACATTTTCTTATAAAAGAGATATTAGAATATAACAAAGGTGGTTGGCATTGAACAATAAGATATGTTAATATTTCCAATATTTCATCACAACTCATTTGCAAAGTAATATTATTATGATAAATGATATTTCTAAAACATTTATTAATAGAATTAATTTTTTCAGTTGGAGTTTTAAAATTATTAATTTCTATTAATAAATCTTTTGACCTATTCCAATTTTGATCATTTATAATTTTTTGAGAGACTTGATATTTAGATATTGGTATTTTTTGCATAAGAATGATTTGTTTGATTAGACGTGAATCTATTTCTATTTCTTCATTTGTTGCAAATATATTTTCATATAACTCTTCCATAATAATATATTCTACACATAGTTTTTGTTCTTCAAATGTAAAGGGAGATTCATTTAATGACAAATTATATAAAATTGTTTGGTATAATGACTTTACAACTTTCTCTACTTCTTCTCTTTCAATACATTGCTCTGTATTAAACCATATTTTAAATTGTTTAATAGATTTTATATCATCTTGGTGTTGTTCAAGATATTTTTTGAATTTATGTATAAGTGATTCTGAGCCCATCTCAAATAATGATTTTTTTATAGTTTTTTTTATTTATTCTTTTTAGATTTTTTTATTTGTTTTCAGTTTATTCAATTTTATTTTGTAGAGTAATTTTATCTTGTGAATTATATATTTAGAAATACTTCTTTAACAAATTCCTATAAAAATAGAGTCAACCCATTTAATATCTTTTTACGTTGTGTCATACCTTTATAAGTTATTTGTTTTGTTTAAATTATATTAAACTACAATAAGAAATATATAACCAATTAATTTAATTATTATAACTAATAAATTTTAAATAAAAGAATATGTTTCTTTGTTAATAGAATTATAAATATCTTAGAAATATCAACTCTTATAATGTAATATTTTTGATTATTCAAATTAGTTAGTATTATTATACATTTTTAATATCATACTTTGTATTGAGCTTTCCTTTCTTCATTCTTAAATTAATTTTTACATTCTTTATATTTTTCTCATAAAACAAATTGTTTTAGAATAATGTCTCCAGTTTCTTTTTCTTATTGGATGGTTATTAATTTCTAACTTTAACTAACAATTAATACTACTTATTTTAATCTTAAGAATAAACTTTTAGTCATTTTCTTCTTTTGGTTATATTTAATCTACTAAATGGTTTTTATATTTAAATGTGTAATTTAAATAATAAATTGGTTAATACCACCAAGTTGATTTTTTTTTTTAAACTTAATATAGTATAATTGTAATAAATGAATATAATAAAGTACATTAATGGATTAAAATATTGTAGAACATTAACCTCTGTTATTTTATGAAAAACAAGAAGATATTAAGTTTAATAAAAATGTCAAGGTATTCTTCATATTCTATAAATAGAATATTCAATACATTAGCAAAATAAATTTCAAGTAAGTTAAATTAACTCCTTGAATAGACTTAAAGATTATATGTTTTTAAGAAATTAGTTTTAAATGAGTGAAAAATTAAAGAGTAAAAAAGAATATTTAAAGTAATAAAGAAAAATAAGTTGTAATAAATATATAAAAATAAATGATAAACGAAAGATTCAAATAATTACTAAATAATTAAGAGTCATAATAGATACTAAGAAATATTTAAAATAATCTATTATATTTGAAAGATAAGTTGAAAATAATACCATATATTTATTCATACAATTTATTTTTAAATAGATGAACAATACTTAATAAAAATAACAGAGAGGCTTTGGTATTGAAGAAATAATTATAACAAAAATGAATTTTATATCTTTTATTTACTACTTGTACGTTAAGATATGTTTTTAATCATCATTTTAAAATTATTTCAAATTAATATAAACCAAATCTTTTGAATTGTTTTACTTATACAGTCTATTTAAATCATTTCCAATATACTACTAAGAGAGAGTCTAATTTTATTGGGCTTAATAAATTCTTTGAAGTAAATGGATTAATAGTATTTGGAGAAACATCATAAATTTGTTTAAATCCTTGATGGATATATGCAGTCCCATCTGAAAGAACCCAGAAAGCAGAAAAACAAGTAAATACAAAACGTTTATCAGAATTTGGATGAATGTCTATTGTTCTTATACAATTTTCTTTTCTATAAATTGGATTATTAGTATAATTATTATATCCAAATAAGAAGAAATCATCTGTACTTTCTGCTTTTACAGTATATTCATTTGAAAAAGGAAGTGGCTCTTTTTGGAAACATCCAAAGATATCAGAGTCTTCTGTCATAACAATAATCATAATATTACCTTTACCACAAATAGCATTATTAAATGTTTCTGCACAAAGGCTATCTGTTTTTGAATTATATAATATTTTTGGAATTTTTAATGTTGTCACTTTCTTGAACTTATCAATATCACCATCACCATCATTAATCAATAATGACAAATTAAAAAGACCTTCACTTTGAAAATCTGTTTTCATTTTTATTTCTGAGTTATTACTTTCACTCATTGATCGTTTCTTTTTGTTATGATTTAATGCTATTAACTGTGAATCACTTGCTTCACTTATTAATGGTTTGCATTTAGTTTCATCTTCTTTAGTATATTTAATAATTATTTTAGGAATTGACTTTGTTTCTTGAACCTTTTCTTTCTTTTTTTCTGTTTCTATTTCATTAGCATTTAGTATCTTAGAAGTAAACTTAGATTCTTCTTTTTTTGCTTGTTTTATAATATCGTCTTCAGGCATTGAAGTTGATTTCCTATGAGAACTTTTCTTTTTTATGTCTTTAGTATTTTGGTCAGTTTTAGGAGTAATAGCATCTTGAGTATTCTTACATTGTTGATTCCCCATTAAGAATTAGTCAATTAGGTTATTCTAAGTTTTTTTATCATTTTTTATGAAACATTTTTACAATACCATTTTTTTTAAATTTTTACTATTGTGTTTTTCTTTACCACTAAACATTTTTATTCTCTGATTTTTATTCTTTAATATGAAACCACGTCACTCAATTACTCAAAAAAAAACATAAATTTGGTGAATAATGGAATGAGTTCCTCAATTACCTATTTCTACCTATCAACATTGTTATGAGAAGTACAGAACGTTCTTTATCTATTTTTTATTAAATAACTCTTAAAAATAGATTTTTTATTTTTCAGAAAGAGTAAGAAAAGATCTTACATCAAACATATCACTCATTTCATTCCAAATGAGAGGGATTTATATTTTGTTTTTTATTCAATCATTAGCCTTTAGCATACACGAACAACATATCGAATTTCCTTTAACTGGAGATTGGTCAATGCCTTCTCCTTTTCCTTTTCTTACACAAACTACTGGTAAAATACAAGCATTTCCTCCAAGGGTTTTAAACATTACAGAAGAGGGTAGTATTATTGAATGTCATATTCAAATTACTGATGGCAAGTATGGTCAAGATGACATTTTAGAATTTACTTCATTTTTATTAATAAAGAAAAATCAAACTTCTTCTCATGGGTATTTGGTTTCAAAAGTTATTACTCCTACCCCTATAAGAATTATACGAAGAGCGATTGTAACACATAATATTACAAAGTTTATTGATTCTTTACCTTCTCTTAATGTTATTATTCCTTTAGAAGATTTGAAACGTAATTTAGAAAATATTACTATCAATGGTACATTAAATTGGAATGATAAAACTATGCGTTTCACATTATGTCCTATTAACAAAAAAGAATTAGAAGATAGTGCCTTACCATATCTTGGCCTTGTTCTTATTCTTGCAGTTATTCAAGCTTTTGCATTTGTTAAACAAATGGATTGTGCTAAAACCGAAAGTTCATTAAAACGGTCATCATATAATACTATAGTATTTATGGCAACAAGTGATGCATTTGTGTGTCATGTTCATGTATATCTTGCTTCATTATTTACTCCATCTTCATTGGCTTTTAGATTTTCTATTTTATTATCATTCTTATATTTTATGATATTTTCTGTATATGATGTCAAGTATATATTTACAATATGGAAATCACAATATGGAACAGTTTCACAACGTTCTGCAATGTTATTATATTTAAGGTTATATGCTACATTATTTATTTTATTTATATTATCAGTATTTTCATTACATTATTTCCTTATAGTTTGTTTTTCATTATGGATGCCTCAAATTTATCAGAATATTATTACAAATAATTCTCAAGTTATTTCATTACGTTACATTATTATTACTACATTTCCACGATGTGTTTTAGTACTTTACTGGTTTGCCTTTCCTTATAACTTTATGAATTATAGAGTTGATGGTGTATTAGTTATAACTCTTTTTTCACTTGTTTTTTTACAAATCTTTATTATTGTTATTCAAAAACGATATGGTGCTCGTTGTTTTATACCAAAATTTATTCAAAAATTATGTATAAATGAAGAGTATAATTACCATCATGGATGGAGTGATATCGCTAAAATAAGAGGTACATTAGAGTGTGTTATTTGTATGGCACCAATAGAAAACACTCATATGGAAACAGGATGTCCCGAAATAGTTGTAACACCTTGTGGACATGTTTTTCATACTGATTGTTTAGCATCATGGATAGATTATAAGATGGACTGTCCAACATGTAGAGCACCATTAGAGGGAGTTTTCTAATTTAACAATCCAATTCAAAAATATTCAACAATTTTTATTCAACATAATTGATTTATTGTTTCTTTAGTTTCTTCTTTATTTTTATTATTATAACAAAAAAACTCTTATATTGGTGAAAAACAAATTAATTTTCTTATTCAACACTACCACTTTTGGATCCGGAATCACCATTTCCACTTCCATGACGTTCAATATCAACCACTTCAGGCATAGTGCCTTGAGGTGTTTTGTCTCCTTTATATTGGATCCAATCAAATTGTCCATCAAATTCAATCCCTTCTCTTTTAGCAATTCTCCAAAATAGCATTCTTAATTGAAGATAGTCAGGTGTTTGATCAAATCCTAATTTCTTGCAAATATCTAAATAAGTAGCAAATTCTTCTGGTAATCCTTCACATAATTCACTTAATGGAGTACTTTCTTTTTTAGCCAAAATTTGAGTATTTTTATCAACTTTCTTTCCTTTAATTCCTTGCCAGGGTAAAGATCCTTTCATAAAATAAACAAACATATATCCAAGTGCTTCTAAGTCATCTCTTCTTGATTGCTCTCTTCCTCTATGATTATTTATTGATGCATATCTTACAGTTCCAACAAAAGCCTTGTCTTCAGCATATTTAATATGTTTCATAGTTTTATTATCTCGGTATTTCTTTGATAATCCAAAGTCAATTACATAAACTGTATTACTCATATTACGCATTCCCATAACAAAATTATCAGGTTTAATATCTCTATGTATAAAAAATCGATCATGAACTTCTTGAATACGTTTAATACATTGGTCAGCTAACATAATTGTTGTTTTCAATGAGAATTTTCTTCCACAATATGTAAAAAGATCTTCTAATGATGGTCCAAGTAATTCCATAACCATTAAATTCCAATCATCTTGCATTCCCCACCATTTTACTGCAGGAATGCCAGTTGCTTTTGTTCCACTTTCTCCTGTTTCCATAAGTATTTTATATAAATTGTATTCATATCTTAATTGTGGACATCGTGCCTTAGTTGATTCCATTTTAATAGCAACTTCTTCCTCTTCATTGAATGTATTTACTCCCATATAAATATCACCAAACGAACCACTTCCTAATTTTTTAACTAACCGGTATTTGTTAGCGATCTTCATATCCATCATGGCTATTATACACACTGATTGATTTCAAGTTCTACTTACTTTTTTCCATTTTTATTTTTTTTGAGTTGAAACGCTCTTTATTTTTGGTTCGTTCTTCTTTTTTTGTTTTTATCAAAAGTAATAGAAACTTATTTGAAGGAATCAATTAAGACATCAACGAAGCAGAGCTGTTTGGTTCTGGACTATATGATGTGACTACACCAAAAACTAAAACTATTACTGAAACAATAAATAGAATCACTGACAAAAAGAATACTATTAATACTACAAAAGGAGTAGAATAGAAACCTAATGATAAATTAAAATATATTCTATACAATGATAAAAGATAAACAAACTAGAAAATGGGGTGTGTGGATGATATGAGAATAAAGAACATTTTTGAAATAGCCTGATTGATAATAAATGGAAGACACATGGAGCGATAAATACTAAAATAAAAGAAATTAAACCAGTTAAATCAAAGATTGTTTCTAATGAAGAAGAAATCGATCCCAAAACGAAAGGAATAATAATAGATATGAAAAGTGCACTATATCTAATTAAATACTTCTTTTTACCTGTCATCACTTCTTCGGAAAACATTGAACAAATATTACCTGTTACTGTTTGTGCTACAATAGGAAATGAACTTGTAAGATTTACTAATGGAAAGAAAACTATTAAATATCGAATAATATATGCATACCATTGAGTTTTTCCTTCTGTCCATCCAGAGCGTATTCCTGTATAACTTCCCCAATTTAAGGTTACTGGTGTTTGAACAGTCTCTCCAAAGGTAACAGAACAAACTGCACCAATTAGTCCATAAAACAATGAAGCAATAAATAATGAAGTAATGATTGGAATATGAGTTTTATTTTTTTTTTCTGCAGGAGCAATTATATCAGGAATACTGATATGACAAACTAAAGCAAAAGCGGTATGAGAAAATACTGTTCCAAATCCTGAGAAATCAAAAACTTTAATCTCACTAATTGGACCATCAAATCCAAGACGAACAAAACATGTAATTAACATCAAAGCAAAAACAATAACACAATACAACATCATTAAAAATTGAACAAAGGTTTGAGATGATAATTTTAAAAAGGATAATGGAACAACAAGTAAAGCATAAAATAAAATTGATCCGTAATATGTTGCTTGACATTCCCATTCTAATGAAAAATGCCCTTTAACTGGACAATGTTCAGGTTCATTTTGAAATGACCACCAAATAGTTCCTATTGAACTTACACTTGTTCCAACAAAAGACCACAAAATTCCATAACAATTGATAATCATTAAGATATTAATTACAGTTTTAAACCATTTTCCAGCTGTATGAGAAGCAAGAGAAGTATATCCATATGCTTCATATACATCTACTTTACTATGTTTATATCCAGTTAACAAGTCATTTCTTTTAATATATGTCCCTACTCTTGAGATTGCTTCTAAAACATATAGTGCAGTACATGAAGTTAATAAATAAAAAATAAATAACAATACAAGAGAAAGAACAAGACCAGCTTCAAAATATGCAAGAGGCATACCAAAAACACCAGTACCAATCATAATATTCATTGTTAATGAAAAAACACTTAATAAAGATATTCCTTTTAAATGGGTAAATGGTAAAACATCTAATAATGAAGGTTCTTGGTTAACCTCTGAGCTGTCTGAACCAATATTTTCATAGTCATCGACTACGTGAGTATTTATAAGAATAGCACCACCTTGAGCCATTAACTTAGAATAATCTAAAATTATATTTTTTCAAAAGATGATAAAAATCCTTTTTGAAAGAAATTTTAGAATGTTTGAACGGAAGTTTCTTTTCTATCTTTTTTTACTTTCAATATTTTCATTAGATCTAAAAATAAAAATATTTTTGAAAAAAGAACAACTTTTGAACTGTTAAAAAATTGTTTATTTTACTAGTTTATGTTTTTCAAATTGAATTATTCTTTATTTTTAATTTAGATTGACACGTCACAAACCCTAATACAAATTCAAATTTCGACTCTCCCACTGATTATCTGATCATGACGTTATCTTTGATGAGATAATGCTATACTCAGAATTGATTATTATTTATTATTATTTAGTATGGGTGTTTATTAAAAAAGAATTCGTTATGATAGAATATTATTTATTTATTAGAAATATAAATATAGTTGTTAATTATAGCTTTGGGTTGAACGTATGGGGTATTTTCAAAGAAAATAGATTTGTTAAGTGGTTGTTGATACTGGACGAGATAAACCATAAACAAGGCGTTATTGACATATTCTTCTTAAAACAACAATATAAAGAATGGGGAGTTTTAATATTCATTAAATTCAAAAAAGTTGTTAACAATTTAAATGCAGAGTTATTTAAGTTGAGTATGTTTGAAAAAGCATTGTTTTAAAAGAAATAAATTGTGTTGAAGAAACTGAGATGCTCACATATCAAATATGATGAAAGTCTAGTCATTGGGTTAACCATAGTTGATTTCTGTTTTTATTCCTATTTCTATCATTAATAATTGATTTATTATTTAAGGTTAGTGCATACAATTATACTAACAAGTATAAAAAACCTTATCTCTATTTTAATTTCTTAATAAGAAAAAACACACTAACCAAAGGTAGTATTTATAATTTGTTATTTTATTTTTAAAACTCATTTTTCCATAACCACACAATGTTTATTTGTTTTTAAGAGATAGTAATTCTTGGGATTATTGAATTATAAATCAATATTTGTATTCTAAGAAGATGTAATTAGATATTAAAAGTGAAATAAGTTTTTTGTAGATGAGTGACATTTAACTCTTTTTTTTTAAAAAAAATAGTATTAAACCAAAGTGCATCTAAGGTTATAATATTATATTTGGTTTAAAAAAGTGGGTATGAATTTTAATTAACATCAAATATAAAATATAGAGTTATTTAATTTATACTTTCTAAAGTATATTAAATAAGATGATCTGAGAAGTTTGTATGATTCAATTTTTACTCTTTAAAAAACAGAACATATAAAAAGACTTTATTTAATTTTATTTGTCTGAATTGTCTAAAGTTGAATTTATCCATTCTAATGCATAAGCCACCCCATCTTCTTGAACGGTTTTAGTTATAAAATTGGACCTCTCCTTTACTGAGTCAAATGCATTTCCCATAGCAACACCATAACCATGATGAGATACAGCCCATTCTATTCCAGTAATGTCATTCTCTGAATCTCCCATATACACAACTAGTCCTTGGTAATGAAGTTGCTCAAGAATAGTACCTTTGCTAATATTTGGATTATATAATTCAATAATTTTTTCTCCTGAGCGTTTAACTTCAATGTCATGGCTATTATATTTTTTCAATAATTCCATTAAATAAATAGTTTCTTCTACTGTTGATGGATGAATATGAATACTCAAAATATCAGAGTCTTTCATTTTCTTAACCTCTTCAAATGAAATAGGTTGAATAAATCTATCACAGTGTTGAAACTTACTATAATCAATTGGAGGAATATTAACACTTTGGTCTTCTTCTTCTTTTATGATTTTTAAGTAATCCCCAATCCGTGCATTGCCATCAGTTCCTCCATTTTCTATATCTTTTTTATTGCATAATACTAAATAGCCACATACCCCCTCTTTTACAAGGGCTTCAATTATTGGCATACATGCTTGTATGTTTAATGGATGATATGCTAAGACTTTTCTTTCAGGAATTCTAACAGTTAAATTACCATTGCTTGTTAATACAGTTATTGGTGAACATCCAACACTTTCTACAATAGGTATTACTGTTTTTAAAGGTCTTCCTGATGCAATAAGAATCTCACCTCCAGCTTGAATTTCACGTTGAAGAGCTTGTTTAACCTTCTCTGTTGGAGTCATCATAGTAGGTAAGGTTAATGTTCCATCAACATCCAATACAATTGTTTTAGGTTTAATAGCGTTCATTATTTATTCTTTTTTAGTTTTGCTCAATACAGATTTGAACTAAGGTTTAAATATTATTAATCGTGACAAACAAAGAAATCCAAAGAAGTAAAACTATTTATATGTTCTAATTAACCTCATCAACCTACTATACTTTAAACAAGACATAATAACGTCAACCATAAATTATAATCAATAAAAAGGTCTGAAGACTAATTGAAAGCCTTTAAACCAAAAAAAAAATTGTATTTGTATCTGTCTAATTAGTTTTGTACTTTTAACGATTTAAGAACTAAATGTTTCTTTCTTAAAAGTATTTCGAAATTTTTTTTAAAGACATATTTAAGGTTACTTCAAAAAGTGTTATTATCATTATACAAATAATGGATGAAGCATATATAGTAAATTAATTAATATTCTTATTCATTTACTATTGATATTATTAAGAAACATATCTAAACATTATTTGAAAATAAGTTTAAAAAGCATGAAGATAGATTATGTATTTATAAGTAAAAAAGAAAGTTTTATAGTATTTTTAGGATGTATTAATTGTTACTAATTTTGAAATATCTTTGGTTAATCAAACGAAGATAGAAGGTAAACTTCAAGTCATTGAGATATTTTTATTTAATAAAGTCAAATTTATTTACTTAAAATAATACATAAAAAATCACTATTTTATTTATTCAAAGAAGTCCTTAGTTACTTTATTGATATATGTTTTATTTAAATTTTCTTCATGGGCATAAATTACTCTGCATCCATTTTCAATGGCTTTTATTTTTAATTCAGTAATTTCATTTAATTCTACTCCATCATAAAATCCACGAGTTTTCCTTCTATTTGGTTGAATATTCTTAACAATAACTTCTGTGTCTAATGGTAAGTATAATGGTCTTATTCCAAGAGGATAACTTGCATTATTTGGAACAAATCCAATCATATTAGCATTTGGTGGAATTGGCATTACTCCAATAGACTTAGAATATCCGGTACTTCCTGCTGGTGTACATACAACAATTCCATCACAACATAACTTAGGTATTCGTACAACTCCATTAATAATAACTTCAAACCAACAACATTGACCATTTAAACGTTCAATCCAAGCATCATTGAATGCGAGTTGAGTGGACAATTGAGTACTTCCATTTGAAGCATCAACTTTAAGACAAGGATATGAATAACATTTAAGTGGTTTATTTTGTTCAATTGAATCCATTACTTCTTGTATAGGATTGATTAAATAACCAACATTTCCACAATTAATACCAAGGTATGGTAACTGTAAATGATAATTTTCATGAAACGCTTTCAAAAATGTTCCATCACCTCCAAACGTCATTACAACATTAGGATTTACTTCATCATGAATTCTTTCAAATTGTCTGGCAACATCAGGAGCCTTTTGGTTGTAATCATCAATATGAAATTTAGCACGAATATGATCAACCTGAAGAGTAGTCATCTACTGAAACCAAGAACTAAATATCTTATCATCAAATTCTAATTAAAAAAAATAAGTCCACAAAATAAATCAACCCTATTTTTTTAATTTCAATTCGTCTCACAATTATTTAATTTATGTTTTTTTATCTTCATTTTTTGTTATGTTAGTTTTAGTACAAATTTGTTTTTGAGACTATTACAAAGCATTACAAACTATTTTTTAAATCAAAGACTTTGATAACAAGTGGATGCTGTGAAGAGGTTATAAACCACCTTTTACCTTATTTTATTGTTATTGTTTATTCTTATATGAATAATAAATACTCGCAGACTATTTAAAACTATTAAGTTTCATCTAAGAAGATACGACAAAAAGAAACAATATTAACTATTGTCAAAACAAACTAAATGAGTTATTGGGATATCAAAAATTTATTAAATTATTTAATATATTTAAATACTTGGCATCTATTTTGTATAATAATATTATCAGTAATATTGATTGATGTAATCTTGTCTCTGTTATATGATGAATAATTAATTTGGTTGTTATGGTATTAGAAACTTATTGAATTAATCTAGTTATTCATTTATATATTCATTTATAAGAATAAGCGAAGTATTTTAATTTATTTTTAATATGGATAAGAGAGAGAGAAGAGATGTTATACAAAGTTACAGCTGTTATTTATATAAGAGTTTATAATGTTAAAGTTCTATTTTATAAATAGTTTAAAAAAATGGTATATAAAGTCTTTTTCTATTATTTGACTCACAAAAGTATCAGATAAAAACAAATATTCTAATAATTATGACTCTCTTATTATTATAAATTTCATGAAAATATTATGAATAACAATTGGGCTATTCCTTTCAAATAATCTTCTTGTAATTTTGTATTATTAAAATTAATAAAATTATTACTTATGGAACTTAAAACATTGTCTTCTAGAGTAACTAATGAAATCTTCTTTGTTTGTAAAAATTCAAGACATAACAATAATTTGTTTTATTTAGTTTTATAATGATAACATTAATAATGTTACTGTTTGTTATTCTATGAAAGAATTATATTTGAGAGGCTTTGTTATATTAATAATCAGACAGTAATATTTCTTGTTTTTCAATTTTAGATAAAATTTTTGTTTTTAAAAACAAGTTAAATAATAAAAACAAAAAAAAAGAAAAAAGGAAAGAAAAAAGATTAAAACAGATTAAGTTATGTACGAGACATACTATTATGATACACAACTTTTCATTGCTTTTATTACTTATTTTGTTTTGTTTCTCTGCATTGTAATGGTGTGTATCAATGGAATAATTTTTACATCACGACAAAAAATATTTCCTTGTAAATGTAAAAAATGTCAAAAACTGAATGAGATGAAATGGAAGAAACCACTAACGATTAAGAGGTTTATTACTGTTTGTTGTTGGTCATACAAAGGATAACCAAATAGTTAACAAATTAGGTTTTAATAACAATAGTTTTACTATTTTTATTTTATACCTTAAACAAACAACGAAAAAAATATTGTACTGAAGTCATTGAACCATATAATCCATTTAAAGTTTTAAATATCTCTAATTCATCAAATAGACTTAATATTGAACAACGATTCCATGACATTCAATTAAGATATTTAATAAAAAAAGTAACTCTTGAAGAAGAAAAGGTATATCTTCGGCAAAAATATGCATATGAGTTATTAAGGAATGACAATAGGTTCTTAGAATGGAAAAGTCAATGGGACAAATTAACAAACTCTACTCATTTAATTGCACTACCTTCTATTTTTCAACCAAACACTAATTTTATGTACACAGTCTTTATGATTTATAACACAACAATTTTTTTAATAATACCAATAATATTACTCATTAGTTCTAGAATGTTTGTTAATATATGTCTCTATCATTTTTATTCAATACCTCATTTATTTTAGTTCATCTTCTTATAGAACCACAATTAATAAGAACAATGAAACATGTTCTCAATATAAACAACTTTATGAAAAAATATTTGATAACTTTGTATCATTCTCATTAATCATTGAGGCAATAAGTTCAACTGCACTAGTACAAAGACACATTACATATAATTCATATGACTCAAAATTCTTACCACAAATTAGAAGTAAAGTAAATCAAGACCTTTTAAATACACCTCATATCCAAACAAAAGAAGTTGTTAAAGCACAGACATTAATTTGTGCATACCTCATGAGAATTAAACTACCAAAATATCTTAAATATACTCTTTATTCAATGCTACCTGACTTAAGAAAAATAATTACTGATTTAATCAATTACTTCTTCTCCAAGGGGAGTCTGGATGCAATGGTATTAACTACAAGAATGGGCCAAATGATTGCACAAGCATGTACAGTTGAGACTGAATATCTTCAATTACCTGAATTTCAATCAAGTCAAGTAATATATATGAAAAAAATTACAACATCTCAATTGGGATCAATCAATACATTAGAACGCTTACAAAAACTTCATGAAATATGTTATAATGAACACCAACTAAATTTATGGAAAAATTATTTAATGTACTTTCCTGCAAATATGGAAATTGATTTGGGATTAAATAAAGAAATTAGTTATAACTCTCGTTCATTTGACTTAGAAATTAGAATAAGAAGAAACCTTTTGACTTACAATTTACAACAATCAACTGATCCAGAAACAAATCAAAGTACAGAATTAATAGAAAAAGATAAGACAATTCGTAGTCATACCCCATTCTTAAGAAAAGCAATTAAAGAAAGATTCTATTTATTTGTTGAAATAGAAAATCAACATTTAGTGTGTTATAAAGAAATATTAAAAATACCTTTTTCACCAAATATATTTACTATTAACATTCATGTCCCAATTCCTCTAAATATAAATTCAATTAATTTCTGCATTTATTTAATTTCAAACAGTTATTTAGGATGTGAATATTGTATGAAGAAAAATATTAAATTATTGTATGCTTAAATTATTATTATTTAAATATTTAATTTTATTGTATTCCTATTTCAAACCCCCTTTTTTCTTTTTGCTTGTTATTTCATTTCATAAAAAATGATAACACCAAAGGTCTGTTATTAATTTTTTTGATTTAATTAAAAAGTAAGCATTAAATATCCTCAACAATTTCTTTAAGATGTATTAATTTCTTCTTATAATATGACAAAAATGAAATATCACTAAAAATAAATGTAAATAACATAAAACATTTATTAACTTATAACAATAAATAATTAGATAAATTGATATTATTAATATTGTTTAATTCTTTCTATAACATTAAAGACTTATTTAATGGAAAAAAGATAAAACAAAAAGACTTTTTCATTGTTTTATTTATAATCAATATAATTTAATTAAAAGAAATTAATTAATAACAATAAATTTTAGTTGATAGAAGAAATCAAACACCTAATAATAAAAAATTAAAGAATGACGTCATTTTATGGTGATATTATATAATTAAATATATAGAATAAAAATGATAGAAGATGGCGACACAATTTGTCTCCTTATCTCAAATAAATAATAGAATAAATTATATTAATACTTAACTAATAATTATTTTTGTATAATAAGTTCTTATTTGAAAAGGAACTGAAAATGAGATATATTTTTCATTTAGTTAATATGACTTGTAAGTTAGAACGTGTTTATTTAATGAATGTATCACTTTATTTTACAACTTATTTTGATGTTTTATCTTTCGTTCAAGTTAATAAAAAATGTTTTTCAACTATTAATGACCTTAAAGTTAATCCATGGTTAACAACCCCATTTAGTATTATTAAATTTGTTTATCATTTCAACCCAGAAACGGTTAATTGTTGTTCTTTCCAATTAAATAAAACTAGAATCTTCGATACTTGCACATTCATACGAAATCCGAATTTTCTTTTAATTTCTGAAGATCAACAAAAAAAGTTAATACCATTGTTTCATAAAATTACTACGTTAACACTTTATAAAACAAAAGAAGAACAATCGATGTGCTATATTAAAAATGCTTCAAAATTTACTTCTCTTCAAAGTATATTTGGAGACATTGAATTAATTGTACAATTTATTGAAAACTCATTTAATGGTCAGTCAATTAATTTACGTTGTTTAAATAAAATTCAAATAGAACCTCAATCAAACCAATATATTTTTCCTTATAAAACACTTCCATTACTCAGAAAGTTAAGGAATATTATTGGTAGCAACAATAGAATTAAAGTTATATTAATCTCTTTTTATAGTGCTTTTAATCGTCAAGATGTTAAAGAGTTTGAAAAAATTAATGTTCAATTGTTTTATAAAATGCTCACTCAGCACCAAATAGATCAAGTCAAATTAAATTATACTGCCCCTAGAAAAGTTCTGGCAATAGAAGGAACTTATAATTGTGACAAATTTAATAAAATAATTGATAAAAGACAACCCACTGTATGTGTTGTATTAATGGAAAATAATCCTCTCCTTAAAGAAGAAATAGAACGTAGTAAAGGTTCACTGTTAATACCAGAAAATATTACAACTTCTTATTGGACAATTCCTAAGTGCATTAAAGAATTACAATTATTAAAAGTTAATCCTGTTGTTGTTCAAAATACAATGAATATTGTTCCACAATATCCAGCAGATTGTTTTTCTTTAAAAACAATAAAGTTAGAACGATGTAGAAATATTTTTCTTCACCAAAACTTACCAAATCTCAAAACATTAATAATGAGTGAATGTGACAATGTCACAGTTCAAACCAATGATGAGGTATATCATTTTGGGTTAACTAATATAAGGAAGTTAATGATATTAAGAAGTAACGATATTCATATCCAGTGTAACTCAAATAAGTTTAAAGAACTAATTGTAGAAGGAGGGGAGAGAATATATATTTATGGCACTATAGATTCTGTTAGAGACTTTACATTCTTAAGAGTTCTTAAAATGGTTCTTCCATCTTGTAGTTTTTATAATAAATATGTAAATATTCAATATTGTTCTTCGATCAAATTCGTACATGGAATGAATATGAATAGTCCTATAGAATTTCTTGGGATAAATGTAGTTTTATTTAATAAATTAATTCAAAAAATATTAGTATTACCTTTATCTCTTCCAAAAGAATTATTCAATGAAGATACATTTTCAAATTTCTTTTGTTTGTTTTGTTTTATTATAGATTGAGAATCTTTATTGACATATAGATATGGCTCCATTTTTTTTAAACAGTGAACGAATAAAAAAACATGGAAATACATTATATATGAAAAAAAGAACATTTAGTGATATAGACTGTATTGACATCTTGATTTCAACTCAATTTTTGACAGCAGGAAAATCAAATAAATTAGTTACTGTATTGAATGAAAATGAATTTTATATTTTTGATGCTTCTATTAGATATTTTGAAGTAACTATAACAGGAAGTGCAGTGGTATCAGTTGGACTTATAGATGTAATTCGACTACATAATGAAGAATATACTTCATCAAATGTTTGTCTTAATTATTTAAAAATAATAATGTTATTAACAATTAAAGAGATTAGTTGGGTTAGATGTTGGTAGTGTTGGATATTATTCTGAAAATGGGTTTTTATTTAATGAGTCTAAAATAACTAAATACAGTGAGCCATATGCAGTATATTCATCAAGTAATGATACTATTGGTTGTGGATATAACATTAAAACAAAAGAAATATTCTTTACAAAAAATAGAATTAAATTACCATCTATTCCATTTAAATGTCATTCTTTATCAGCAGTTATTTCTATAGACTTTATGAATAAAATGACAATTAATTATGGAAATACTCCATTTAAATTTAATATAAAAAAGGAATTAGAAAATAATGGATTAATCAATCAATTTAAAACTAATTGTCAAATTGTATAAAAATGACTTGGGCTCTTATTTATTGTTGGTTTGTAATACTTCTTTTGTTTATTGTCCATCCTTTGATTCCTTTACAAAGTGAGCTAAAAATTCTTTTAATGAAATAAAGCCATCAAGATCTTGATCAACTTGATCCATAAATCCTTCAATATCATCAGACTCTATTTGAAGTCCCATTTTCTTTAATAAACGCTCTAGTTCTGGAGCACCAATTTTGCCTTGATCTTTAATATCCAACAATCTAAATACTGCAGTAAAAACAGACTTAATGTCTTTACCAAACCCCCTATTTAAGATAGCAATTAAACGAGCAAACTGCCTAATATCTATTTCTCCATCATCATTTAAATCAGCTAAATGGAATAAAAGAGCTTGACTTGGTTTGTCATCATCAGTAATATCATTTCTCCACATTTTAACACCATTAAAATACTCATCAACATTAACAGAACCATCTTTATCGAGATCAATTTCTGCAAAAAACTCTTCTATTGTTTTACCTTGTGGTTTGTCTTCTGGCATTATGTTAAATGGGAATAAAAAAAAAAGTTTACAAAGGTAAAACCCTGAGAATTTTACATGAAATTTCAAATTTTTAATGAAAAAGTGAAAACTAAAACTTAAAAAAAAAAACTAAAATAATGAAATTTTGATAATACAAATATGTCACACATAGATGAAGAACTCATGAGAATATTCGATTATAAAGTTAATGAACTTGAAGAAAGTAAGATAAAAGACATATTCTTATTGATGAAAAGAATGCTTATTAATTTAGATATGGATCAAATTGAATTTAAAAAAGAGTTACATAAAGAATTTAATGTACCATTAAATCGTATTGTTGATTTAGATGAGTGTGACGATAAAAAAGAACAACAAAATGATATTGATTATTCAAAAGACAATGACACAAGTTTAGATCATTTTGTAGATCAACTTGGTTATCAACAAAATGAAAATCAAATAACTGATAATCAACAATGTCAAGAAGCTTTAGAAGAAGTACAAAAAGAAGAAAAAATCGTGTTTGAGAAACTACTTGCTTTTCAACAAGAAATGTTAAAGAAAGACAGAAATAAAGAAGGGTTCGATATTAATGGAATGATAGAAAGTGAAATGAATCAATTTGATAGTTTTATAGAATCACCTAATGAAGATGATTTAATAGGAAACAATTTGTTAGATGTTTTCCTTCAACAATTTGATGCTGTTCAAATAACTAAAGATAATAGTAAAATTAAACAACAACCATTTATTCCACAATTATCTTCAAGTGATGATTCATCTGATTTTATTGAAACTAATTCTAATGAAGAATCATTAACAAAAGAAGTTCCTATTGAAGCATCAAAATTTTCAATAACAAAAGAAAGAGATACTTCTGAATTAATTAAAAGTTCTTTTCAATGTCAGCAACTAAATTATCTATCTTTAAAAAGTATTAGTAAAAGTTTAATGGAAATTAAACGTTACAATGAAAATAGTTGGGCACCTATTCTATATATTATTGATGATGCTTTTGAATAAAGTGAAAGATCAGAATAATTATATAAATGGTATGTAATGTTATTCTTCTGGATTATACTTTTAACTCATATTTATATAGATATAACTAGAACTCAATTTGTTTATTTTGTATAAAATAAATTGAATAAATACTGTAGAAAATTGTTCTGAGAAGGTTCTTTAAATAAAGGTTTTTTATTCTTTTTTAGTTAATAAATCTAAAAAATTATATTATTTTGTAGATTACAAAAGTTATTTATTAGATGGTTTTTGATTGTAATTTTGTTAATTAAATTTATTAAACTTTTTGAGTTAATTAAATTTTAAAATGCAATTAACATTCAATTTAATTATTTTTGTTTATTTCTTTTTTTTTTTTCATTTCTTTTGACTAAATTTGTTTATCTTCAATTAGAATATTCTACAAATAACTTCTTAAGGAAAAAAGAAACTTACAGATAAATAATAGGGTTATTCTTTTCGTAAAGAAATTATAAATTCCAAAAAATATTAAATTAATTTTTAATAAATCATTCTAAAGAAAAAAAACTTACGAATAATACTAATTTAGCAAACTTATGATGTTTTATTTTTGATTGAAAATTATCCTCTTTTATGTATTTTTAGAATATTATTTTTTTCTTTTTCTTCAAATTATATTATTAATTTTATTTGAAATTATTCATTTGAAATTTTCAATAAAGGAATGGATAAAACAATAAACTCGGAGTTTTTAGAAATAGAATTTAACTCGAAAATTTCTATCTTTCTAGTTTCTTCAAATTTATAAATATTATGCCTAAAGGGGCTAGTTGTATTATCACAATTATTATTGCCATACTCAGTTTTACATTAATCTGTATGACATTACTTTGTTTTAAAAGAACAAATAATATAGATGTTGTTGTATCAAAAGAAAAAGTTAAACAAAAAGAGAAAAAAGGACTTTTAGAAAGGTATGCAGAAGATAGTTTGTATCAATTTCTTAAAGAAAAAATAGAGACAAAAAACTTTTACAAACAAATCTTTAGTAAAGACTCACAACTTGTACCAGGTGATCTTTCAAACTACTCTTATAGGTTATTAGCTAGTCGTGATAATGTAAAAGGCATGTCTCAAGAAAAGTTAAAGGTAATTTTTGAATATAAAATGAAAATGGTAGAAGAAGTACCTCAGATTAATGGAAAATATCCTTATGATTTTACAGCTCAAATGAATCTTGAAAACATAGGTGAAAAAATTGAATTTGATCCAATACCAATCAATGACTCTATTCCAGATTATTGTAATGGAAGAGTTGATGTTCTTTGGTTATATGTTAATGGGGATGAGCCAAACTGGAAAAGAGAATTTGGAAAATATGTTGCAGGGGATATACCTCAAATAAGATATAGAGATTATGAAACAATAAAATATTCAATGAGAAGTGTCTTTGAAAATGTTCCATTTGAACTTCATTGGCATCTTGTTGTACAAGATGAATATCAAATTCCTTCATTTTTAAATAAAAGTAAATTAATTTACTATAACAATGAATCAACACCTAACAGTCTTCGTGTTATTTATCATCGTGATTTCTTTCCTAAAGAAACCTCTTTACCAACATTTAATTCAAATGCTATTGAAGCTGCATTAGGAAATATAAAAGGGATTAATGAATGTTTTATTTATTTAAATGATGACATGTTAATTAATTCACCTATTCATGCATCAAATATATTTGATAACGATGGTAAAATAAGAGTATATCAAAAAACATGGGTTGCACCATTTTTATATAGAAATAAACGCAATCAATGGGATAGAACCATATCAAATTCAAATGAACAAATGAATAAATTTTTTAATGTAAATAAAAGAAGACATTATATTGCTCATCATTGTTATTTCTTTAGAAAGAGTAATTTAAAAAGAATTTATAATGACCTTCATCAACCATTATTAGAATCAATGAAAAAAAGAATTAGAAGTGATACAGATCTTGCACTTCCATTCCTTCAAGGAAATTATTTAATAGAACAAGGACTTGGAGTTCCTATGTTTGAAACAAACCCCATTTTAGCATATTATTCAATAGAAGAGAGTATATTAAACATTCAAAACTTATTAGTAGAAATTAGAATGAAGAAAACACCCTTCATTTGTGTAAATGATAATTTTAATAATAAAGACATGTACCTTGTTGATGAAGCTATTTCATTTTTCAAGACAGAAATGGATAAAATCTATCCAAATAAAACTCCATTTGAAATTTGAAATATCTTTAAATTATGCATTTATTGTTTCTTATTAATTTTATTTTTTATTTAATCTTAAAATTTTATAAATTTATTTAATGGAAACTGATTTAATAAATAACTTAAAACTTTCATCTTATGATGTTCTTGAAACAATTGATAAAAATAATGAACGAATAGAATGTCCTCAATGTCATAAACATATGAAGTATTATTGTTATAATTGTAGAAAACAATTATTACCAACACCTATAATTAAACTTCCTATCACTCTTGATATTGTAATGCATCCTAAAGAAAAACCAAGTAAATCTACTGCATTAGCTGCAACAATTTTAGCACCTGAAGATACACATTGGATTGTATTTCCAGAAGTCCCAAAATATAATGAAAAAACAACATTACTTTTATTCCCATCACCAGACGCTCAACCTCTTGATAAAATAGAACATCTTGAACAATACAAAACTATCGTTTGTATTGAAAGTGTTTGGCAAAAAGCTAACCAAGTTGCAAATAGTCCTAATTTATGTAATTTAAAGAAAGTTATTATCCAATCAAAAGAAACAATATTTTGGAGATATCAACATTGTGGAAAAACTAATTTAGCTACTATTGAAGCTATTTATTATTTCTATAGAGAATGGTATGATGCAATGAAATGGGATTATTCAAATCAAGTTGATGACCTATTATATTTCTATTGCTATACATATCAGAAAATACAAGAACATTATAAAAAACATCCAGAACTTCAATTTATTCATATAGATGGTTATATTCATTATGATGAAAAAAAGAAATAACTAGATAGTATTTTTATCAATAATCAATTAATAATTTTAAGTTGTTTTTTTTTCAAAAAAGAATTTGAAAAACACTAAAATATCAATGAGTGAAAGTAATGAAAGTGATAACACTACAACAGATAGTGACATAATCGAAAAAATGCAAAACGCATATGACTCTTTGTTTAAAATAAGAAAATATGAAAAATTTCTTGGAGTAAAAGAAGAAGAAGTAAGTGAAAATTGTCCAGATGTTTTTGAAATGAATATAGGAGATAATGAAATTAAACAAAGTGTTTCTAACCCTACATTTATGGAAGATATTTCTTCTATTAATAATAACGAACATAAACATTCTTCAGAAAATGAAGATAAAAATTTACAAAAAATATTTAATGAAATTCAACAAAAATTAAAAGAGGAAAAATTTGAAGAAGAAGAATTAGATTCATTAAAGGATATTAATAAAGAAAAAGAAAACATAATAAAACAACCCAAAACAAGCAATAATATTTCAAATATGACAACACCCAGTAAGAATAAATCAAATTTGAAAGATAAAATAATAGAAGAAAAAGAACTTAATCATCTTCCTCAAAAAACAACACTGACTGAAGAATCTACTAATACAAAAACTAATGGCTATGTTAAAACAAATGAACTACTTCAACATCAAACTAAAATAACTCCATTTAATTTAAATAAAAGTAATCAAATCAATGAATTAAGTGAAGGAAAAAAGAAACCAAAACTTCCTAAAACAGAACAAGATGAAGAAAAATATAAAAAAGTAACTCTCTTAAAAAAGCCAAAAACATTTGAAGATTTTCTTGTTGAACAATATAGAGAAACGTCTATTAAACATACAAAACGAAGAACAAATAAAATCCATGTGAAAAAAACAGTTAAAGAGCAAGAGAGTGAAAGTAAAAAAGAAAAAGTATTATCAATTAGAAATAAAGGTATAATACAAAAATTTATAGAATTAGCAAAAGGACAGTCTATGAAACATGATAATGAATCAAAAGATAAACAAGTTACAAAGCATCATATTGTTCAAAGACTTAGAAAGAATCCAAGGAAAGTAGAATTTTTAATTGATGAGTATATTCCTTATATATATTTAAAAGAAAATACCAATACCCAACATCCAAAGAAACCACAAAAATCAAGAATTTTTGAAAAAGAAGATAAAGAGAGTATTCATAAGATAAGCAATTCTATTCATTCTCAAGTGTTTTTATCGTCAAAAATTAATAAAGAACAAAATAATCATAAAAAAGTTCACATTAATCCTATTATTAAAAAAGAATGTAATGATATTTACGTTTATCTTAGTGGATTTGAAGATGAACAAAAAGAACATTATTTAGAGTCATTAGATGGGATTCCTCATCTCCATGTTACAGAAGTATATAAACGTGCAACACATATTGTATGCCATAATTTTGGTAGAACAATTAAAATGTTAAAAGGAATTTCTGATGGTAAATGGATTCTTAGTGACGATTGGATTGATGCAATAATAAAGAGTAATAATATTGTAGAAGAAGAAGATTATGAATGTACAAAATATATTGCTTGTAAACAACAACGATTAAACAATGTTCAACTTCTAAATGGGTTAAGAGTGTATTTAAGTTCTTTTCCTAAAAAAGAAGTTATAGGATTTAAAAAATTAGAATATATATTTTTATTAAGACAATGTGGTGCAAAGATTGTAACAGATAAAAAAGAATCAGATATTAGTATTGGATTTGAAAAAGGAAGTATCCAATGTGATTGGTTATTTGATAGTATTTGTAATAATTGTCAATTAGAGACAAAAGACTATATTATTTAAAAGAATAAAAAGTATTTTTATATATTATTTAGTTTGATTTAATTCTTTTTTTGTTATTTTTTTATAAAAAAACTATAAAAAAACTATAATTTCAACCAGATATGTCTTTTTCTTCTAACTCTGAGTCTTGGCATTCTTTCAGTAACTCTACTCCGATCTCAGGAATTCAATCTAAAACTACTTCACCAAAAGGAAAAAGTATAAAACCTACTACATTATCTTCATTAACTAAAGAAAAATTTATATGCAAAGATATATATGAACATTGGGGATTAATTTGGTATACGTATCATAGAACATTGAAAATAAAAATGAAGGAAGCCTTCACTAATGTCTCTTGGAAATATAGTTTGTTTTGTTTTTATTATAAATTATTTATTATTTAAAACTAATAATTTTAATGCCTATTTTGTGCCTATTAATGTTATAGATAGAACAACAACTATTTCATCTCAATATGTGTCTCGTATTGTATTAACAACTCAACCTGACCATTCAACAAAGAAAATTGATATTGGGTGGGAAAGTAAAACTCCTAATAGGCATAGTGCAATGGAATTAATTAAATTTGGAATGAATCAATATTTCCGTTTGTTATCATTAAACAACTCAATTAGAAAATCTAAGTCAATGGCTAAAACAACCTATATTCCAACTCGATTTTTATTTTGTTATGGAACATGTCAGTTTAATGGTACAGAAGTAGAAGATGTAGTTTTTTCAATACATTTTCCATTCTTTATTGAAAAAGTTGGAGGGTCAAGAGCTTCATTAATTTTAACTTGTTCATTAAATTTTCCAGTACTACCAACTCCATTAACTAAAAATCATTTTTTCTTTGATACTCTTTATGATTCATTAAATCTAATTATTTATAAATTCTATGTGACTCATTTCAGTAAAGGAAATGCTTTAGATTTTATTATTAATGAAATAAATAATTTGATAGACTCTATAGAAAAAACATTAGTGTCTTTAACATTCCCTAAACCAGAACTTCTTCCAATTGAAAATTATTTACCACAACAAACGATTTCAAAACAATTTAAAGATGATATTTCTTTTATTTCTTCAGCTATTTCTGCTCATCAACAAACTTATACAACAATATGTATAACTTCAAATAGTAAATGTGCAAGTGCATTTATGAATCTTTTCGAACCATTTAATACACCAATTCATATGGGACATTATTATCCAATGTTTTTTTATCCAGTTGTATTAGAAAAACCAATTCCATTATTTTCTATTGCTTTTACACCAGAAATACCTGTTGAAAGTTATATCAATTTTCCATTTCCTTTTTGCATAATAGATCCTTCTCGTCGCTCAGTTCAAATATGTTCTGCTTTATCTTTACCAACACATTTTCATAACCGTGCACATGAATTAATTCAGTGGATGATTCAAACTCAAAAATTAGATAAATTATCAGTAATTAAAATAAGAAAAGTTCAAACAAGTAATTATCAGTCAATAGTAAAGAATGCTAGATTATCAAATTATGTTATGAGCCATATTTCATCTTTCTTTTCTTTGTCTTTAAAACAAAGAAAAATGTTATTACTTAGATTTTCTGAAGAACTTGGAATGAGAGGAAATATATTCTTTAATTCAATAAAGTATGGTGATGTTCATCTTGATCGTAATTGTCAATGGATTCGTTTATTTGAAGAAATATATAATTGTGATTTAGAAGGTCTAACATTAATATTAGCTTCTATGAAATTATATCAACCTATTCTCATTCCAAGAATATTATGGCTTCTTCAACAATATGAAGAAGCATTAAAAATAAATTTTATTTAATATACAGTTTATATGTATTACTCTTTAATTAAATAGATATACAAATGTACTGAATGAAATTAAATGGAATAGAATGAAACTTTTTTCAATTGAATCTATATTTTAATACCACAAAAATACTAATTACTTTTTCTTTTTATCTTTTTCTTTCTTCTTTTTATCTCCATGCTTTTCAGTTAATTGTTCTTGTTGAAGACGTTGTAATTCTTTCATTCTATCATCTTCATTTCCTCTACGAGCTCTTCGAGGTGTAGAAGAAGGAGATTCTCGAGAAGGAATTTTATTTTCTAGGTTATTGGTATTTGATTTAAAGTCATCACAAGTATCAGTTGACCGAGTTCTACTAATAGAAATAACTGATGAACTTAATGTTTTTTTATGAAGTCCAATTTCAAAGTCTAATCCAGCGTTTCTTCTATTTCTTTTTGTTTGAGCAATATTTTTAAGTCTTTCAACTTGATCAAAAATAATAGAATTCCAAGTGTCAGACTCTAACAAAGTAGAACATGAAAATCTATATGGTATTTGAGATATCTTTAAATTTACAAGATTTTTACATACATTTTCATGTGAACAATATTCAACATATGTCTCTGTATTAAATATACATTCTTTTATTATTTCAAATTGCCAATTACTTAATTCTTCTACTTTTTTCATATTTCTTAATTTTGCAAATGCATCCACAAAATCCTTAATTGGTTTATTATCAATACTAATTGGCATTGTTTCAACTAATCTATCATTAAACAAAAAACAATACATCCATTTTTGTGGTATTTCTGTAACTTTTTCTACAATAAATAATGGACCACAACAAAGAAATTTACGAGCTATAATAGTGTCATTACTAAATTGTCCTATAATTGTTTTTCTTATCATTAGATATTTTTCACTTTCTTCAATTCTTGTTTTCATTATATTTACACTATCTGAACATTTTATTGAGTCTAAATATGCTTTCTTTAATAATTCTAATTCAAAAAATCCTTTTCCTACATGAGTTAACATTGTTTTAATTAATGACTCATATTTTGGTGTTTGAACAAGTGGACGATTAAGATAAAACATAAATGGATGAATTTCAGTTTCTAATGTTTGTTGCATAAATGGTTCTTTAGCTTTATTTTGTGCTTTTATAATAGATGAGTCTTTACAAACTTCATCTAATACACTTTGATATGTATTAAAATTATTAACAAATGTTGCTTCCATTTTTAAAAATTGAATATTTTTAACAAATTCTGAACCAATGCCAGGTATCCCTTGTTGTGTCTCTTTACTTTTAACAAAAGTATCTAAGAAATTCTGATGAATATTCATCATTACATCAATTTGTTGAATTAATTCATTTATTGTTGTGGCATGTTCTTTATTGACTAATTTTATTATTGGATTTAAATAAACTTCTTTTAGTGTTCTTAAATTCATAAGATGATCTCTTTCTCCATTTTCTAATTCTTGAATAATATTAAGATAACACCTTTCATCTTCTGGAGTCATTTCTCTCTCTTCAATCTTTTTAAAGAATGCTTCAATATTTGTTTCAGGATGATCAAAATTATCTTGTAACCTTTTAGCTACAGCAACAATAGGTCCAGAGCATGTGACTAATGACCCAACTTCTTTGGCTTTATACTTAATTGTTAATCTATTATATACATGAGAATAATTCTTCTCAGGAGTACTAACAGATTCAGAAATATTTTCGTTTAATTGTATTTGTGCTTTCTTTTTCTTTTCTTCTCTATCTTTAATTGCTTCTATTTGATCATTTATAACTGATTTCCAAACTTCTTTTTGTTCATCTGTTGGTGCAGCATATTTGATTAAAGCAAATGGTGTTTTTTCAGTTTCTTTTTGTGGACTTTCAAATGCAAGTAGCATCAGGACATGTTTTACCATAGAACTATCACCTTGTGGCATAACTTTAGATTGTGTTTGGAAGTAATAAACTTTAGAGAGTATAAATTTAATATTATGTAATTCTTCAAAATTCTTTAATTCAGTCAATTCTTTAAATAACACTGGATCAAAAACTCCTTGTTCTTCTTTAATTTTAACACCATTAAAACGAACCACCTTAGTTTCTACAATAATGTCATTAAATAAAAATAAGTAAACAATATTACTTGGAAAATCGTTCATATTTTGAATAGCAAAAACTGGTCCACAACAAATAAATTTACGAGCTGATGAATTAGGAAGTTCTGGAAAATCACTAATAACTTGATGAATGAGAGACATCTTTTCATTTTCTTCTAATTGCATTCTAGTTTGATTAACACCTCTACCTGATTCTTTAGCATCTAAATACGCTTTTTTTAATTGTTCCAAATCTGGAAAATCTCTTCCAACATCTTTTAACATATCTCTAATAAGTAATTCATATCTAGGAATACGTTGAATAGGTGTAATGAGATAAAATGACATTAATTCAATTTTACAATTATTATGTGATTTACTATATTCTTGTTTAGCTTTATTTTGTGCTTTTACAACATCTTTTTCTTTATTCATAATTTCAGTTAGACCTTCAAGATAACTAGAATATTTTGAAATATATGTAGCAGCCATTTTTAAAAATTGAATATTCTTGACAAAGTTAGCTCCTAACATTGGTAACTCTCCTTCATTTGATGTCTTTTCTCCTTCTTCCATCATTTTTAAAAATTTTTTATGAACTCCAATAATAATTTCTATTTGAGAAATTATACCTTTAACAAAACTAACACTTTCTGAATTAGTTGATTTTGTAATAGGAATTAAATAGACTTCTTTTAAAATTTCCAATCCTTTAATATGTATTTTTTCCGTTTCAGTCATTTCATGAATAACCCTTTTATAATGTTCGTTGTTTTTTTCAGTCATTATCCTTTCATCTATTGATTTAAATAATTGTTCATCACTCCCACTTTTATGTTGATTTTCTAAATCAGATAATGTTTTACATATACTACTAATAATATTACCTGATGTTATTAAATTACCAGGAGTATCAGATATATACTGAATACTAAATTGCTGTGAATTTTTATTTTTTTCATTTGATGATATTAATGGAACAACATTATTATTTACTTTTGTTGTTCCAATAATTGATGTTCCTGATGATGAATTAGTAGAAATTGATGATGTATCTGATATATGTTTTGAAGATTCAGTATTAGATGCACTTGAATCATTATTATTAATACAAGACGCTGTTGAAGAAGTTTGTCTCATATGTTCTACTCTAAACAATTCAGAAGTAACAATATCTCCTTTACTTTTTTGAGCCTTTTCTTTATTTTCTATTATTTCATCTATATATCTAAATTGGTCATAAATAATAGATTTCCATGCCTCTTTCTCTTCTTGTGTAAATGTAGAATATTTGGCTAATGTTGGAAAATCTTTTTCAACATTTCTAATAACTTTATATTCTCTTAATAAAATAGAAAATAAATTCTTTACTTCACTAGTGTCATTAATTGGTTTAAATGTACATGCACCTAACGTAAATGGTAATTCTCTAATTAATTCAAATTCATATGTTTCTAAGTCTTTAATATTTTTTATTTCTTTTAAATTATTAAATACTTTCTTTAAACTCTCTCCATCTTCAATATTAACTGATTTTCCTGCAATTTTTAATGGTTTTGTTTCAAGAAGAACATCATTAAATAAAAAGACATATACTAATTTAGATGGTGGTGTATTTACATTTTCAATAAAATACATTGGTCCACAACAAATAAATTTTCTAAAAACTTCTTCTTTTATTTTTAATTCACCTTTAATTATATCCCTTACCATTGTGTATTTTTCATTTTCTTCTAATTGCATCTTAACTTGATTAACTCCTTTACCTGATTCTTTTGCTTGTAAATACGCTTTTTTTAATTGTTCCAAATCTGGAAAATCTCTTCCAACATCTTTTAACATATCTCTAATAAGTAATTCATATCTAGGAATACGTTGAATAGGTGTAATGAGATAAAACGTTAATGGTTGAATTGATCCTATAGTGATATTTTCATCTTTATGTTCATTAACAAATTTTTCTTTTGCTTTCTTAACACTTTTTTCAATAGAAGAATCTTTTTGAGTAATTTCAGTTAATTTTTTCATATAATTATCATAATTACCAATATACTGAGATGCCATTTTTAAAAATTGTAAACTATTTACAAACTCTTTACCTAACATTGGTAATTCTCCTGGTTTTGTTTCTTTTAATCCTTTTTGAAACATTTCAAGGAAATTTTGATGTACTTGAATAATAATATCAACTTGTGTTAATACATCACGTATAAATGTTTCATCACTTTTAGAAACACATTTACTTATTGGAATTAAATATACTTCTTTCATAATTTCTAATCCTCTAATATGTGCTTTCTCGGTTTGATTATATTCATTAATAACTCGTTGATAATGGTCTTTATCTTTGTCAGTCATTTCTCTTTGACTAATACGCGCAAAAAACTCTTCATCTGTTTCTTTTTTATCAGAAGTAATAGATTCATTTTGAAACTTTTTTAAATGAGCTGCAATAACATTACCTGAAGTAATTAAATTACCTGGAATTGGTGAAATAAATTCTGTAATATTAGTATTTATTAAAGTACTCCCCTCTTTTTTTTATCAATGTAAAAACTAAAGCAAACTAAAACTTTCTTGTGGTGCACTAGCTACTCGAGGTGAACGTGGGCTTTTTGGAGAAGTTGAACTTTCTTTTTTAAATGGTTGTGTACAATTAATTGACGGAATAAAAATTTCTTTTTTGTCTTGACTATCAGTACTTGATTCTTGAAAAGAAGGTAATGATGATGTAAGTTGAATATTACCAAGTGTTTTAGAATATTTACGAGGTGGAACTGGCTAAGAAAAAAATAAGTCAAACAGTTAAATAAGAAAATGAAGTATAATTTAAAATGAACAAACAGGTGGTGCAGAAGAGTCCATTCGTTAATTAATATTAATGAATTTTTTCAGATGAATTTATTAGATTGAAACTTATTTCCTATTTTTTTTTAATACAAACATTTTTTTTAGTAGAAAATTTTTTATTTTATATGTCTTAATCATTAAAAACTTAATTATTTCAAAACTAAACATTCTCTTTTTTAATTCTTTATTGATATTCGAGTTGTGTGTTCCACCATATTAGGAATTAAATTAATATCTCTAACTACATCACTTAACATTGTTTCATTTGAACCAGAATACCATATTGAAATTTTTAAACCACTTCCAACACTATATGATATACCAACTAATGAAGTATAATAACTGATAGTAGAACCAACACACAATAATACCTAATAAAAACATTAACAATCGGTAATTTGATTTTTTTATTAACTAAACAAACTATTTGTTGATAAATTAAATCCCATTCACTTTTCACTTTTTCACTAAATGAAAGAATAATTTTTTGACCATTATTTGGACTATTTCCACTCTTTAATAAATAAACATCAACTCCTTTTGGCATAACTTGTAATGAACTCATTGAAGAATATACACTCCAAAATTCTTCAACACTTTGAAATATAGCAATAGACCTTGCATTCAGTTCAGAAGATGAAAAGGATTCACTCATCTCATCAACCCACAGTTCCCAACAATCAGAAAGTTGATGTTTTTCTTCATTATAATTTCTTACCTTCCACATTTCTTCAGTCATTTTATATGATTTTTTTCTTGTTTTTTTTTGTTGTTTTTCATATTTTGTTAATTTAATTTTCTCTTTCTTTCCCATTTCTTTGACTTTCTACTAACATTTAGTATCTCTGAACAATTGCATTAGTCAAAAATAATCTAATGAACGATATTTACTTTCATATTCATTGATTTGATATGTCACTGTACTATAATTATTATAAGACTCATCATCACTCTTTATATTATTTGAGTATTTTGTTTTGAACTTATATCATCAAAACAAAAGTTATTATAATTCATACATATCGTCCATCATTTGTTTTATACTATTCTTAGTAATATTCTTATTTCTATTATCATTTTCTATTTCTTTCAATTTTATGGTTAATTTATGAAGAATTTAAATGTTACTTATTACAACTGGTTTGTTTTCTAATGCCTCCTCTTCACATTCATTAATTTCTCTTGTAATGTTTTGTATTATTAATATATTCTTATTTATCTTTTATATCATTTTTACACTACAAAAAAGCCACAAAATTCTCATAAAAGTACTTTTCACCTTCAAATAGATTTAGAAAATATTACTAACGATAAAAACAATTATTATAACAACACTTATCTTAATGAAGACAGTTTGTGTAATTAATAATATTATGAGAATAACAAAGACGAAGGAAAAGGATATAAAGAGTAAAAGATGTTATAAGAAAAGACAAAGAAAGACAAAAGAAAAGAAATAAAGAACAAAAACATAGTAGGAGAATAGACAAAGTGAAATGAAGAAATTGAAAGAATAGTGAAAGAGAAAATGTGTAAGAAGAAGAACAAAAAGAAATATTAAAGAAACAATACAAGAGCAACAAGACAAAGTAGAAATGATGAAATGAAAATTAGAAATTAATAAAATAATAGATGAAAGAAAAGAAAGATGAATAAAGATAAGCATAGAAGGAGAATATATAGAATTTATTAAAAGAACAAGAAGAAATGAAGAAATAAATAAGAAAATGATATTGGAAATAAAAAGAAGTAGAAAAATGAATTAAAATTCATTTCTATTCATTAAATTGAAAGAAATAATGATAAGTCATATGATTGATAAAATAACCAATAATAAAATAAATAAATAAAAATAAGATAAAGATAAGAAATGGGAAGAAAGAATAAGAATAAAATCAAATATAGAATAACACATTGATGAACTAGTAAGATAATAATGAATATGAATAATTAAAGAATAAATGAATATTAATAGAAGATAATGAAATAAAAGAAATGAGGAAAATGAATAAGAATAGAATGTTGAAAAGATTGTATAAATCATGTGGTAAAAGAATTAATAAAAATGAATGTAATGAAGTACATTAGATTATACAAAATAAGAATAACACATAGACATTCATAAAATAGTTAAAAGTCAATGTATTGAAATATATGAATATATTGAAATTGAATAAAATAAATAATCATTTAATAAAATAGAATAATTATGAAATGATAAAACAAATAAATTGAAGTAATGAAGAATATTAATATAGAAGAAATGAATATAATTAATGAAAGAAAATAATGATTTGTATGAAATGAACAAATTAATAATTACATCAAATAATGAATGAAATAAGTTTATATTTATAATGATAAATAACAACAAATGAAGATATAACAATAAATTATATTTGTAAATAAGAAAATACAACAATAAATATGAATCAATAAATGAATATGTATTGAGAATAACTAAAATATAACGAAGAAGTAATGGAGAATAAAACAAGATAATAAAATGAAATTATTCTTCAAATAACAATAAAAATGATAAAACTAAAAGAAGAATAGAAAATAAAGAAATAATTGATGAATTGAAATAAGAAGTAGTCAATAAAAGTGGATATTTCATAAAATACTATACATTTATAAAGAAAATAAACCAAATATGAATATTAAATAAAATAATAAAATAATAAAAAGATAATTCTGACATTTACTAATAAAATAGAAATGGATAAAATTCACTAAGAAAACTAAGACAAATTAATAGAATAAAATAAAAGTAATTACAATAAATTGACTATTCCATAAAGAAAGGATAAAAATATTGAAAGAACTAAACATTATAATTGTAAAGGAAATAAATAATAAAAAATATAATTGAATAATAACATGAAAACCTAATGAAATAGTATGAGATAATGAATGAGGATAGAGAAATACTTTATGAAAAATATATTCAATGGAGAATGAACGAAACATTCTCACTTGAGCAAAGTGAAATAGAAAAATCAATATCTAATGCCACTTGATTTAGTAATTAGTTAATTAAGTTAAAAATTAATATAAAAAAATTTTAATTTTTTGTAACTCTTAAAATTTCATGATAAAAGATGAAATTAAACAATTATTAAATAATTTAATAAATTAAAAATCAATTCAATTTTAAATTTTCTGAATAAGAATTGATCTTGAAAAGATTTAATTACTTTAAAGTTTTAAGCATTTTTAAATATTGCTTTCTTAACATTTTTTGCATCATCTTTTTCATCATCTTTTTCATTGGTTTCTTCATTTCTTTTTTACAGGTTTTTCTACAAGTTTTTTTACAAATCTTTTGAACGGTTTCTTTTTTCATAAGAAAAGTTATATTTTACAGTTCTTTTAATTATTTTTATCAAAAAGAGCAATTTGTTAACGTAATGAAATGAGATATTTGAATAAACCATTTAAATTTATTCTAAAAAGAAATTAACAAAGTTTTGAATGAATTGTATTGTTATTAATTATAAATTATTTAATAAAAATAAACTACAAAGAAATCTAATATTCAAAAAAGCAGAGTTAGTATAATTAGTCTTTAGCTTCCTTATAATCGATAATGGCTTCAATACCCATAGCAGTTTGAATAGCAACAATGAGTTCTTTTCCATCATCATAATCAGCTTGAATCTTTTGTCCCATTTCACCTTCTGGGAGTTTAAGATCATCTCTAGTTTCACCACTCTCAAGAAGAAGTGATGCATATCCATCATTAATACCAACAAGAGAGTATTCAGTTCTCTTTACTTCTGGGACTTCAACATTATGAGTTGATGGGCAAGAATCATCAAGTCTCTTTCCAGTGAAAATATCATAACCAGCAAATGTAACTTTAGCATGTCCATGTTTTCCAGTCTTTGAAGTTGACATTTCAAAAACTTTGCATGGTCTTCCCTTAATAACAACATAACCACCTTTTCTTAAAGCAGAGCATTGGCATGGATATACTCCAGAGTGTTCAGCATTACCTTTTTCAAATTCATTATCACTGCTTGACATTTAATAAAGTGGCAATTATCAAAATCAGTTCTCCCTATTTATTCAATCAGGGTATTTCTTCTATTTTAAACTTATTAACTTTTTTATTATTTCTTTTTAATATCTTTTTTATTTAAATAATTTCTCTTTTCATTTAAACTTCTTTTTTTTTAATCCACGTAAGAAATAAATGAATAATCATTTTTTATTTTATTTTATTATTCTTTTTTTTTCTTTTTTTTTTTCGTTCAATTTTAAAATATTATTTATTCTCAGAAATCATTTTGTTTATTCTTATTCCATTTTAACTAATTTATAATAATAACTTAATCCGTGTAATATTATCTCTTTTGAGGCTCAATCATTTGCATTCTACTCACTTTCTTTACTTGATAAGAAAAAAAAAAGAGAAAAAAAATTACAAAATAAATTTATATTTGATAGTCTCAATGAATGTGAAGCACGTAGTGTTTATTGTTTTATTATTAATTGCATTGACTACTTCATTGGTTGTGTCAATGAATTTTGGTGTCTTAATTGGTATTTGCGCTTTCTTTTCTTTTGGAATTAGTTTTGGTATTCTTTATCCATTTTGTTCAACTGTTCTTTATAACATATTAAATCCACGAGAACAAAAACGAAAACCACAATCCATTCCAAACGAATTTTCAAATGAGCTACCCTTATAATTTGATTTTTTTATAAAAAATGTGAAAATTAGAGAAATTATTATTCTACTAATACATTTAATATTTTTAAAAAGAAAAAATTAAAAATAAAAGAAAAAAACTTTTTTGATTAGACTATTTTTGAAAAAAGTCATATTTAATATAAAAAAGAAGAAAAAAGATTTGATTAATAGGATAGGCAATTGCCTGGTTTAATTTGAGATATGATATAAAAAGATCAAAAAAAATCTTAGTGACAATTAATCATGTTTGCATTGATTCTGGGTCTTGTTATTCTTGCCTCTGCTAAAACATATCCTTTCACTCTTACTTCTTGTGCAAAGAACCCTACTTTCATAATTCATCAAATGACTATTCAACCAGATAACCCTATAAATATTCAAGGAGGATTTACTCTTAATTTTGATATTGAAGTAACTAAAGAAATTACTGAAGCTTCTGTTGCTTTAACTTTCCAAAAGGAAGTTCTTTTCTGGGTTACTATTCCATGTGCAAAGAATGTTGGATCATGTACTTATAATAATGTTTGTGAATTATTTGCTAATGTTACTGATGAATGTTTGAATGCTACTAGAAGTCATGGATTTGATAAAGTTCCATGTTCATGCCCAATTCCAGTAAGTAGATACACTGCTTCTATTCCAATTCCACCATTAGATATTCCTGATGGAATTGAATGGTTAGCTTCAGGAAATTATAAAATTAAAATGGTTGCCACTGATCCTACTGGAGCTGAAATTTCATGTTATGAAGCAAAATTCTCATTAGCAACAAAATAAATTTAAATAATTTATTTTTATGTTATTTTATTATTTTTTTTTATGAAAATAAAATTTTAGTAATATGAGATAATTAAATGTTATTATAATCATTTGTAACAAGATAAAGAATTATATAATTATGTTTGATAATTCACCATTTGTTATATTTTGAGATAGAATATCTAGAATCTTCTTGTTTTGCAATGGTATGAATTTATGGATAATATATAAATTATAATATATATAAAATAATATGTTAAAATAATTGAGTTATAAATAAGTTAGTAAATTAAGTGATACAATTAGCTTCTTGTAAATAAGAAATAACAGAATAAGATTTTATTTTAAAATAAAATTATCTAATTTCTAACCTTTCCTTTCTTTTAATTACAAAATTCAGTTGCTTGTTAGGAATGATAAAATTAATTGCTCATTTTATTATTTAAAAAGCATTAAATTTCAATAATACACTTCATCAAATACATATAGTTTTCCACTCTTGCTACCAACTGCGACTACATGGTTGCTCATTGTCACTGAACTAATATCAACAGAATCTCCACAAGTAAGAGATCTTCTTAAAACCCCTTTATAATCAAGGATTTGAATTAGTCCTCCATCAACTCCACATATAATAGAATTATCTCTAACATCAAGGGCACATGTATTATTTGGTGAACTAGCAAAATAATGGTCTAATTTTCTTGAGTCCCATAAACAAATAATTTTTTCATTCCCAACAGTAGCAAACTGAAAATCATTTAACGTTTCTAATAAAGTAATTCCTGATTTGTGAGGTCTATATTTTGTTACCATAGGAGATGATGATCTAATATCCCATAAATGAACTGTTCTATCTGCTGAACCACTAATAAAACACCAATCATTTAATGGTCTGGATACACTTATCTTTCTTACATGTCCATCATATGTAAATTCAATATTTCTTTTAAAGTCTTCATAAGTTACAATTTGGACTCTTTCATTCCAAGTTAAAAATCGTGTTCTTTTTAATGGATAGAGACCTTCCATTTTTCCATCTGGAACATCAAATACAAGACTACTTTTTGGATTTGTTTGATGGATGTATTTTACTGTTCCACATTTATATGCAACTACAATATAATCATCTACAAATCTTGTAGTAACTAAACTTGAATTTGGACCAATGAACACTTGTGCATTTTCTTTTGAGTTATATTTCCAAAGTCTAACTTTTCTATCAGAAGACCCAGTAACTATAGCTTTACTAAAACTATGAATATCTACACTTCTAATTATATTTGTATGCCCTTCATAAATTTTTGGTTGAATGTTATTTGTATCATTGGTTTTATTGATGAATTTATTAACTTGTGTATTTATACTAGTAGTGTTATGACTTTCATAACTTAATTTACAAGAGTCACATTTATTTTTGTTTGTTTCTGTTGTTATTTTATCTTCAATTTCTATAGAATTTAAAACATCTTTCACTGATATTTCTTTTCTTTCTTCACTTGAAGATATATCATTTCCAAACTTAATCATTGTTCCAATTAATTGCATTAAATGTTTGTTACAAAATTTAAGAGAATTAACACTTTTTTCATCTAAATATTCACATATTTTTTTTAATGCAGTAATAGGTAATTGAGGAAAGAATGAATGCTCATCTGGTCCATATTTTTCTAATTCAATCCTTAATGATGGTGATTTTTTTTCTTCATTTTCTGAAGAAGTTTCACTTTCAGTTGGTTCATAATGAAATTCTTTCATATTTTCTAAGAATTCAATAAATACTTTGAGAGATGATTGAGTATCTTCCATCGTTTCTTCTTTTACTGTAATATCTAAATTATATTGAATTTTAATAGTATTATTTTCATCTCTTGAATAAAATACATAAGCATTTTGAAAGAAAAATACTCTTTTATGATCAGATAATTGTGAATGAGCAAATCTACACATTGGTGAGTGAATTGAATGAAAATGAATTAAAGAACATACCGACCCATAAATCCATAATGAAATTTTAAGATGATCAGAAGAAATATCTTTATAAGGTTCTTTATGAACTATTGTTGAACCATCTCCAAGTGATTTGATAAAATGACATCTATTACCAAAAACCATTGAAACTAATGACTCTCTTGTAAACCTTCTTTTACTAATTATTTCAAATGATCCATGAAGAATATATGATGCTTCTGATTTGTTTCTTGATAATAATGAAATACGAGTATTTTCTTTATCCCAAACAAGAGTTCCATTCAATGGTCTCTCAGGAAGAACAAGTTCATACCCATTTCGTTCTACTGCAATTGATTCAGGAACATCAGATATATTTGATGGAAGATCAACTAAAGTTCTGAAAAACCGTGTTAAAAACATCATTTGTCTTTGTAAGGCAATATCTACATTTGTTTCATGAAGCCAAGGAATAACAACACAGTTAAGTAAATACGTAACACGAAATTGAGTATTTGCAAGTTTTTCAAATACAATACACCAGATTAAATGACCACCATCTCTAAAAGGCATAATTGAAGAACGAGGGTCATAGATGCTACATAATAAATAAATACGCTTGTTTTCTATTTCAATATTAATTGCTCTATAACAAATTGCCATTTTATTGAAACCAAATAAATTCACTTCATTTTCAAATATTGGAGAATCAGAAAAATCTAATTGATTATATTTTATAGTAAAAGGATTATATGACTGAAATAACAACTTTTTAGTAAAGTCTTCTGGACACTCCAATTCTAATAACAAGACTGCTTGACTTCTGAGAAAAAATGCACTGAAATTGGTTAGTACAAAATCAATTAAAACAAAATTCCTATTTTTAATGATATAACACAAACTCATTTTCGGGTGAACTATATGCTTGTTGTACTGTTGATGGACGAAGTCCATCAACTTTTGTACTCCAGCTTTTAATCCAGAATCTATCTTCTTGAGAAAGTTCACTAAGTTTAATCATTCTTTGAAGAATGATATCAGTATCTACATTGTTCATGAGAAGATGATTTAAGAAAAAAAGTTTCCTTTCTTCTTTTTTTTTAATGAAAAAGAGTTAAATATTTGAAAAAGGGAATTAGAACTTTTATAACCTTATTTTAGAATAAATATGAAAATTTTGATATTTATAGTTTTATTGAAAAATGATTGAAAAACATTATGTCTAAAATTGACTTCCATCCTGACTCTTTTTTTTCTTATTTTTTAATTTTTTGTATTTCTTAATAATTCCTGGTGGGGAAAAGTGTATGGTCAATGTTACTGTAATAAATAAAATAGAAATTATATGGTAATGATAATAATTTATTTAATATAAATGAAGTGAAATATAATTTTCTTTCTTATTATTATTTTATATTATTTTGTTGTATTTTATTATTATTATTTTCTTTTTCTTTTAATCAATAAAATAAATTGAGTATAATCGTTTATTATTTATTTCTTATTCTTTATTTATTTTGGGTTATATTTTTATTTGAATGTTGTATATTAAAAAGTATTTATTAATCAATCGGACTTTTATTTATTCTATTTCATGTTTGAGAATTATTTTATTTTGCTGTTTAGGTTGTGTTAATTGATGAAATTGGGAGATACTACTGCTTCTTTTATTTTCATTGTTTATTCTTTTTGTATATTCTAAACCAATACTTACTTTCATATTTTTCTGCTTATACATTGTACAATATGACAATAAAAAATAAAGAGTGTTTAAAAGATGAAGTAATTAATAGATGAGTAATATTTGAATCTATTGTTTTTATAATGTTTTTCATGTGATTAGGTAATACTTCTCATTCTTTTATTATAGTCTAATGTTTATTGAAATGAGAATTGTCAAATAGTTTGATAATTATATTAAGTAAATTATACATAATTTATTGTTATTCAAATGCATTTTTGTCTACTTCATAATTAGAATGATTTACATATTGAAATGATAAATAATGAGATTATATTTCAAAAATTATATTCATGCTTTAATTCATTCTGATTTTTAATTGAATAAATAATACTAAATCAAGCGAATGAACAATACATGAATGAATAATAATAAATATTGATATTATGATAATAAAAATATTAAATAATGAAATGTCAATATCATTCAAAATTTAATTCATTTATTATACAATATATTTGTTCATTTATTATTTTCAATGTACATATTATTTTGAATATTCATTACAAAAACCA